TTATTTGCTTTTTTTACTTCCTTTTATTGAATACGCAATTTTTAGGACGGTGAAAACGGTCAACCAAAGGGCTGTCATGCAACACACAGAATGTGGGGGAAAGCTAGGCGATGGTGGTGGTGGTGGTGGTGGTGGTAGTGATGCTGGAATCCGAACACACATCCTCCTCCCGGGGGGTGGGGGTGGGTGATACTTTGGTGACATTACCCCCACCGGGCCACCACTGCCCCGAAACTGGTTCTACTTCACGATATTTGTCAGCTTGATTTGTTTCGGCTGTTTCCTCCTATTGATCGATCATTTGATCATTTTCGAGCCAATCGGATGAGCGGATGAAAACCTTAACCAGGAGAATGGGTCTGATGGATCTCCCATTCGGGTCCCCGGATAGGGGATCCTGGGATTCCCGTAACGGGGATTAGAGACACTGAGTGATGTAGATAGCTGGGTGTCGCAAATACCGGTACTCGTGTATCTACTCGTTCCTCTTACAACCGCTTTAACTGTGCTCTCTTATCCAAATGGGCGATGGTCAAAAGAGAGCAACCCAAACCGGCGCATGAACGGTCTTAATTAATGGTTGTAAAAACTGAAACTGAAACGAGATCATTTTCTAAGCACCTTCTCTGATCGGATAAAGTATAGCTCGAGAGTTGGGACGGACGTGCGTTTATGGCAGATCATAGCAAGGATAAATTAAAATAGATGATGAGGCTAATAGAAGAAGCCATGAACGACGGATGAGTAATCACCAGTGGATATGGTTAGTTCGCTGGATGCGCACTGCGCACTGCGCACTGCGCACTGTGCGTGTGCGTGCCAACCGAGTCCGGAAAATGATCAATGCAAATCATTTCTCGGAGCGGACGCGATCACCGTGTGCGGATGCAGTTCGCGGATGGGATAGGACTAATCCGTGTCAGAACTCGAGCATCACTCCCGATACGATTTGGTCCCGATTAATTTAATCTGTCTGATTCACCGATTCCTTGGTCTCCGAGTGCACATTTCAGTTTGCATGTAAACGTGACAAAACGGAAGACGCGGCAGTGACTATTGGTGTTGTTGTTGTGAAAAACCCTAAGGTAGTTTGTTTTTAACTGTAAATATGGAAATCAAAAATTAACCAAGTGTTTTGTGATACGAGTTCCACAAAAGAAAGAAAGGACAGTCGAGACCGTAATCATAAATGTAAATTTCAGTTGGGAATTCGTTGTGTTTGTAACAAATAAAGGCTGAACTGAAAAACTGGGAAGCACTGGACAGCTATTTCGAACTAGTTGGGTCTCGTTCACGTAGTGCGAAGCCATCGACCTAACTAACTGGGGATCGAATCCCGGATCTCATTAACAAGCAAGCATGCTATCCACTCGGCCACCGGGCCACTGATCAGGCCGTTTTTCATTTTCCGTTTACACGATATAATAAGACCCGACTAGGTCGAAACAGCTGTCCAATGCTTCCCAGTTTTTCAGTTCACCCTTCATTTGCTATAAACACAACGAATTCCCATTTGAACGGACCTGCACTTAGCTGCGCAAAGTTTTCTGTAAACTTATTAATTCGCTAAGCAAAGATGATAAGTGCATCTGAAAGCCTCAGTATGGTCGCGGAGTGTATATCCTGGATTGTAGCAGGTCATCTTTCCTTTGCAGCTCACGAAATGCTCCCACACAACTAAGTGTCTCCAGCAGCCTCTGCTGAGGAAGTGGTGGAGTTGTTTTCCTATCCCAAGGCGAGACGACGAAAAGCCAGTATTCGGGGCGTCTAACAGAATCGGTGAACCAGAATCAGTTCACCTAGAGCGGAGTTGGCTAAAAACCCGGATTGCCAACCAATCAAGAGGAGGTGTACGAACCACAACCACACCTTTTCGGTTATGACAATGCTCACCGGCTCGATTAGGCATCGAGGTGTATTGGGCACCTCGAACGCTTGACCCTGTCTGACAAACTAGACACCGGCCCCCAATGGATTGTGGTTTTCACACACCGACCCGCTGCCTTACGGGCCAGACTACGGTTCGTCAGTTGTGAATTCCCCAAGAAAATTTACCTGCCTTGACCGGGACAACCTGGTTATATTGCGCACACAAACAGATCGTGGAACTTTCTCTTTTTTCAGAAAGATTATTGTACCGTGATTTGTTTGGCACACAGTCTGGATTCAGATGTGAGTGAAATACAAATGCAAATATGGTGGATAAATTGTCCTTCGGAAACAGAAAACCCTCGTTGATTGTGTATTTCATTCATCTCGGTATTTTCATCGTATACAGACTGAAGCATTAAAGGCTTCATCACAGGGGGTGAATCTCCGTGTGAAGGAGGCGATCAACAATGAATTGCTCCGCTGGAGTGTGCTCTTTCTACTGCTTCTCAAACAACAACAACAACAACAACAACGACAACAACAACAACAATAACCGACTATAGTGTGACAACGAACAATCTGCTCGAATGTGTCTTGATGACAGGATTACAAGCACACCCGGGGGTAATATGGAAACCAATGGACCTATATGCGTCACAAATCCGAGAGGGCAGGGAGCCACAGTGTAAAACAACGTGTAGTAATTGTAATCGGACGGCAATAAAATCCGAGGTCCCTCCGTGTGTGTGTGTGTGTGACATCGAGGATTGACTGATTATGCACCCATCTCCAAATCAATAACGTATTACGCATTCCAGTGTAATGAGTTTGTTTTGATCCGGACATAGAAAGTGTGTTTAACGAGTGCAACTTAGTGAACGTTTCGAAACCGCGCCGACAGGTGTCTCACTAATGCTTTACATCCACTCAGTAATCTTCTATAATCTATTAATGAAAAAGTAACATAGAAAGACAGTACATAGAGGTGCTCTTTTTTCTCCGTGTTCCGTAAACCAAACTCGTGTATCTTTGCATCGACTTTCAACAATACATCGGTCTAATGATCAACTCCGTTGATAGTTATTTTCCTATGCCACAGCGGCGGCACACCTCTTATTCGTGTCAACTGGTGGTCCACGGCGCGGTCAATGCACACACACACACTCTTGTATCCGAACGCAAAACAACCCAATCTTGATCTTCGAACCGGAGAGACGGAGCTACTGCGCGGCGCAAACAGCTAGAAGAATCTAAGGCAAAATTACCGCAGCAACGCCATTCCGTTGGACAAGGACGTTTGTTGGTTTAGGGAAGAGGGGACCGAAAAAACGAACACACGTGTGTCACCGCTCTACCGGCCCCGAATGGGTCTGAGCGCACAATGTTCGATAAATTACGCTGAGCACATCATCAGGTTTCGTTT